CACACACACAGACAGCCTCTCGACAATATGCGTTTTTGCTGGCTGTAGCAGCGCTATAGCGAAAACGCATAAAAAAAGACACAGCAAAAACGCATAAAAACGCATAATCGCACCAGCCCGCCTGGTGCGTTCCAGCCTGGGTTTGGAGTCTCTGAGCATACCCAATTGCTCTCATTTGAGGTGAAAAGCCGCATGTTTTGTTGTTCACTTGCATTTTGCAATATCTACAAGGATGCATTTATAACCGTGCTTCTGGCCTGATGGTACTGAGAGTCGTACTCACAACGATACTGATTTAATCGTCTACTGATTTAGCTGGGGCGAGCAGTGTGGGACTGTGCACTGAACTTACAAACCATATGTGAGCAATAAACAAACTTTAAAGAGTATACCACTTCACCAGCAAACAAATTCCGTAGCGAAAGTTTTAATCTCTTTTTAATTTCAATATAGAATTTCAAAAACAAATCACGGATCACGTGGTGAGATAGAACGCCGGTCCAGCTTCATGAAGTTTCCTGAAATTTTACGATTACTGTCAACACGACAGAGGCATTCAGCGAATAAATGCGGCAGCACACTTTGCCTTCACGCCATGTCAATATCTCCCTTATGATAAGTTAAAGCAGGAATTGGAATCAGTGAACGCGACTTTAAAGCTCAGCTTCGTAGTTTGCATCAAAAAACAAGAACTACCTGTAGAAAATTAGAATAAACTTGGAATACCGTCAGCACTTTCACTGATAAAGGGAGTCTCATTTTGGAAGAACTAAGCATCCTATCATTCGTTTATTTTCTAGGATTTACGTTTCTTAAGACCATAGACTTCTTATGTTTCTTGTTTTTTCAGCTCCTGCATCTCGCCCTCAGCATCAATATAATTATCCCAAAGCCACGTCGTTTGATTTTGCAGCGAATATAACAGAAAACATCCAACTGACTTATCCGAAGCATGCTTAACTTCTGTTGTAACACACTGCAGTGGAATTTATTGCAATCAGCTGGAAAGGAGCCATAAAAGTACCTGAACTGCTCAATACTGCGGATAACAGATGCCGCACCGAATACCGCATTGACTTACGAGATCTGGAATTTCATCCCATTCGAGTGGTCCACCAAATTGTCTTATGAACGCGCATTCCTCATCAAATTCGGCACATTCCTCACCCACCACAAAATTCAACTGAAGCACGGAAACTGAGCTGCTACAATAAACAGTGATATTAAAATTAATCAAACGTTGAATGTGAACATACTTTGGATAATTTGCAATAATTTTATGACGATGCAACCAATTATTT